CGTCTTAAAGGGTCAGGGTATAAGGCAATACTGATGAACTTAATAGGGTAGTTGGGAAAACGACACACAAATGCAATTCTCCCCATTTAGTTTTATAGATATCTTTAAAAATAAAAAACAATGTACTTTCAATTTGGACTGTCTGCATCATTTTTAACAAATAAACGATCTCATATTTCTCGAATTCATATAGCATTTCTTCGTTTCTTTCTATTAGATAAGGTTGTAGACAGATATCTATAATTCCTTGTTTCATTGATTGATCATGCCAAGAAACAAACAAAGATGTTCAAATTTGATTCCGTATCCAATCAAAAAGCTTTGATTTTAATATGTAACGAGGATGAAAAAGTAAAGCGATATACGCAACGTGTTGTATCAATATGAAACTTCAAAACAAAAATGATAAGCTTATTGGATTCAAATATTGGATTTTAAGTCAAGCTTCAACAAGAATTGCGATCAGATAAAAATGTAATTATTATTCAAAAGGAAAGGAAATGTAAACATTTGCACTATTAACATGCATGGTGTGTTGTTTATTCGGATCACTTAGAATAATTTATATATATATATATTGTTGTTTACAAGTAATGAAAATTAACGAACATAGTTAGACACAAGGAATTTAACATTATTAATATCTAACAACAAAATAATACGGTATCAATGAAAGTTCATAGTTACTAACATCATTGATTCAACTTGTGTTTACATGTATATCGCATAAATCAAAGATACATGTACCAGGCTTGAAATTGTACCAAGTACGCCAGACGTGAGTTTCGTTTTCATAAGACTCATAAATGGTGCTCGAATAAAAACAACTGGAAGGCTAAATCAATAAAGAAAATAAAAGAGTACATTTGTATTAGAAAAAAACGTTCCATGAGGGTGTCAATCACTATTTAACGATTAAGATAATAAAGACTTTTTGTCAGTTCTTCGATATTGCAAAAAGCCCTAAAAGATCGTTTAACATTATGGACATTGAATACTCGCGAATATAAATGGTATTTTTTTAAACAATCATACACGAACCACAAAATTACACAACTTTATAGCGCTACATGTTGTTGTTGAAGATGATTTGGACCAATACAAGACATTCCAAATTTGAGACTTGGTTGGTATCTAATAAAAGAACATGAACAATAAAAAATAAATGGATTTGTCTCTGAAAGACAATGCATAGATTTACTTCCGCGCGGCCTTCAATAATGTGCAAAATCTTTAACGTATACATTGTAGAAAGCAGCTGTGGCATGCTCCGGGAAGACAAAATTTAAACCAATTCAAAAGAGAAACTAACAGTCCTATTCGTACTACAATTTGTAATGAAATAAACTAACTTGTTAAATCAGGAATAATAATTTCAACTACAAGTAAACCTTAACATACACCGTGCTTTGAAACCACAGAACAGATTGAAAGACTTTGGAATTGTCCTAGAGAGAAATAACTTACTGTAAATCGTAGAACGTATTTAAAATAGCGGTAGAAGACTTTAAAATAGCCCTAGAGAGAAATAAGTTCCCGGGAATGTTTGTTTGTTTGTGCATTATCTTCCCGCTATAAAATTGCTGCAATGCAATCATACTTCTAAAATGAACCGTGTTATTCATGTTAATATATAACAAACAGTTGTAAAATAATTGAAATATGTTTCCAAATTATTTTATTTTAATCAACTAATACACAAATAGGACCGCACAGCACCGATGGTCTTTGGGTAGCGTGTTCGCCTGGAGTTATGGAGGTCGTAGGTTCAATTCCTGTCCGGATCTCACCAAATACTTGAAAATTGGTGTTTTCTTCTTCTTAGCAAAGCACGCGACATTAAAGAGTGAGAGCAAAGGCTGTTCGTCCCGAAATAAGAATAATGTGTCCAGGTAGGGTGACATGTCTTTGTACAGACTGTTACCTTATGAACTAGCACGTAACTGAACGAAATTGACATGTCTGGCCTAAAAGTAAAAGCTTTAAAAAAAAAGATGTTTTAACCCCTGGGCTATCAACATCTGTGCATCCGATATCTAACGTTCCATTTAAAAATAAAACTTTTTTAACTCATTCGATTGGTAATTTTACGAAATTTTCTATGTTTTTCAAATATATAGAACTGTGATTACTGTATGAGTATTATGATCAACATATGTATCTACGGGACATTTAACATATTTATATATTCAGCATGAAATATTACCTCCACTAAAACTGCATCATTAAACATATATTTGAAAGTTCTTCTGTTTTACAGAAACATATAAATAAAAATTAGCAAGTTCCTCCATAGATTTTTAACTTAATCTTCAAGCTAATCCTAGAAGTATACTTCAATGTCTACTGCGAGCATTAATGCAAACTAAGATATACACAATTTTCTATCAAAGTTAACGTGGTCAAAGAAAAGACGGGAGCTCAATGTTTACAAACAGAAATATGGCTCAAATATACTTTTTACAGAATGACTGCAAATAAAAATGCGTTTTCACTGTGTATTACCATTTGAAGAAGGTGAATGAGAAATCGTACAAGAGTGAGAACAACAAGGACACGAAACTGTTTCAAAGTATTAAGTAAACACGGGGTAATTTCCAAATACATGTAGCTAACTAAGCCAAATCAAAAACTCGTCAAAGATGAAACTCTGAAAGATTTCAACTTGAAATGATAAGAAAAGTGTGAGAAATTAATAATATATACACGGTCACATTACACGCATCACTCCCTGTGGAGAACAATCTTAATTAGCTACTTGAATCACACAAATCAATGTTGGTATCCCGGGGTGTGTAGGCTTATGCAGTACATGTAGTCGTAAAAAGTTAATTCGTAAATATTTTTGTTAAAAACATATTTTAAACTGTATCATAGTATTGGGAAGTTTATGTGTTTTTCAGGGAAGGTATTATTGTTAGTTAACTTACGGTAATGGAAAAATTATTGAACAATAATTACTAGTATTGAAATTTTGATAATTAAAAAAAATCATGTCATTTGTTCTGTTAAAAAATATAGCTGGTGCAACCAAAGAACCTAATCCAATTGATGTTTTATATGGTCACGATATATGGAATAACGATGAAGATTCTTCTTTTATGTCATAAATCCGAAGGATTTTAATTTCCACATGCACCCGTTACAATAACACCAGTCTAACCTAATAATAATACGTGTGTATTTTGTCAAAGTTTTTCTTTGAAGCTTTTAGCAAATTTATTTTTGTCATAATAATGAAAAATATATTAAGATTGTTAATTGTTGGAAGTTCACTTTTCAACATAATGATTCCATTGTATACTTTATCCTCTCTCATGATTGAAAAGTGGAAAACACAAAAAAAAAACATATACCTTGTGTATTGCAAGTATTGCTACTTTAATGTCACATGTAGAGTAAACATGTATACATTCACAATTATATTGTTTTTCAAAGTCTTAAAGGATATAATCATACTGATTCATAAAAGTATAAGTGTTTGCCGATGACTTCGTATCCAAGCGTGTAAAATTCTCTATTCCATGACAAATTAAAGAATTTTCAATTTTCAACCATAAAAAGACGGGAGAATTACAAAAGTTAATTTTTAGGCAAAAATATCATTTTATTTCCCTGTCTTTTTAGATTATAAAAATATCGACGACAAAATAAGAAAATAACGAATACTATTTGTTATTGAAGCAAACAGATATCAGGGGTTCGCAAAACAATGCCTTCTCTGTATACATTAAACGGGCTACTTCGCTATTTATGGTAGCAAATTTTAAATCAAAAGTGACGGATGTTTAAAATATCTTATTTTCATAAAATTTGCATCATTATACAGTTTAAACCTTTAATAAACTTTATTTTACGGCGCCAAGAAGAAATTCAAAAGTTAATATAAAGTAATACGGGTATAAAAACTATTCCCCATACAAATCTATAGTAAAATTAATCGCTGTCTGTGGACAATTACTAGCGCATGCGCATTGAAGACCGAACGAATTCTTGTACATGTCTAAGAAGAACACAGCATACCTTCAACACTCTCCCTCAAGAACTTTCCAGTGGGGACCCTGTCGAGTTCGGGAATTATTTTATATTGTACACATCGATATTCAATCTGTTCTTGGTTAAGTTGAACCACTGATCGAAATAAATTCAATAGATTCATCTTTCATTTCATTTCTCCCCTAGTTCATCCTACTTTTCTCGCCAATTTTGCCATGTGCATTATTTGGTAAACACAAATTGCATCGTTCCAAAACTGCACTTCCTGTACGCGTCAAATTGGTTTAATTCCCGTCAAATTATATCCAAATTTAGAAAAATAGGATGAAATTCTAATCCATCAAAGTCCGCCAAAGTTTTTGAATAAAGTTTTCTATGACGGTTGTACCTATCAAAAATACTTCAAAATAAAGCTTTGATAGTGACAACCGGCCACAAGCCATGTATTTTCGGAGAAATTAAAAAAAAATCCACAATTTAAACCGCATGTTTAAACAATTGCGTCATTTTTCTAACACATGTTCTCTAATTAGTACAAACAATAGAAGAAATCCTGGTTTAATTGCGTGGGTTTAGGATTATAAAAGACACAGCTGCGCAAAGACAATACGAATGTGTCAAAGAATGAATAGAAACCAAAGAAAGTATTTGTTAATAATGAACTAATATAAGGTATATCCTATTTTAAGGCTTCTTTATAAATCCTAATAAATATTAATGTATGCATCAAACTTTTTATCTTAAAATAGCTCGTAATCGATAGTTGAAAAATATGAAAAAAAATCTCTAATCTTTGGTGAGTTTTTTTCTAAAAGGGTGTCACAGCTACGTGTAGCATTTACATTATATCGTTACATACAATGACAACAAAGCTATTCCTGTAACAATTTAAACACTTGTCCTTACCGATAATGTTTTAACGGACTCTGATAAGAATCTACATGATTCTTAAGTTAACAGTTATGATTATTATCTTTTAAAACCCATAGTTAATCTAAACTTACCTTGCGTAGAATTCCTCAATCAATGTTCAATCAAAGATGAATGGTCTTTATGGCTCTTATCAATCTGTAGAAAATCAATGTTAAACGTTAGAACCAATATTATCTTACATTTAACTAAATTTCCTTCCATTTGGCTTATTTTTTCATTCTGTTAATTCAATTCGGATTGCTCTGTTAAGTAAATGGATAGTGTGATTGTGGATTTTTTTCTTTAGCACAGAATCTACTGATGTCATCGACTCATCGATTTTAATGTTGTCTTTACTTACAAAACTTACAGGTTTAAAACGTATGTTTTGCATGGAATAAAATATTTATACCACTGAAAATGTGTTCGTCTTAAAATTCAAGAATTAGAAAGTTTTTGTAAGTTTTTTTTTCGTTCGTAGAATATGAAGTCTTCAGCTAAACATGCAAAGTCTTGCGTAGAAGATATAAAGTTAAGCATGCATTCTCGCTCTATAGTTTATCTTTTGTATGACACCAATGTGGCTCCACATACATATAGAATGTATTTATACAGTCGAGATGACATGAGAAAACTAGTATTGTTATATGAGCCAACTTTAATTTCTATAGTTTTACATAATTGCACAATTAAAAACTTGATATAAACTTTTAAAACTCCAATCATTTGATATCATAAAATGTTGTGGGTATTTAGTTTTTCTGTGTGTACTTTTTGAGAACACTTGTTAAATATTTTTGTCATGTACAAAGGTGCGTACTCAAGTTCACATCCATGTTATGTATGGCTACTTAAATTATTCCAGACGATGTTTGTTTTTTTGTTGTTGAAAGAATCGAAAGAAAAAAAAATAACGTAAGGTGTATTGTTTGCACTTCATCCGGGTCGGTTTAGATCATGAATACAGGTTTGGGAAGTCAAAACATGTAAAATCCCATACTCATTAGTTGCAGGTAATGTGTAATACCAATCGTGTAATGTGTAATTTACACAATTTTTTAGTATGTAATTTTACATTTTTTGCCTGAGGGAAGAGAAACTTAAGTTTTAGTACAATTACGTTAAGTTATAAACTGACGAAATGTATCCTTTAGATCAGCACTGCCTTCTGAACGAATAGTAAAATTGAGAATGGAAATGGGGAATGTGTCAAAGAGACAACAACCCGACCATAGAGCAGACAACAGCAGTGTCTTTAACGGTTAACACCTCACAAGCAATTACTGTAGTACAGATCCCCTGGGGTGACAATTTCAGTGTGCAAAACACGTGCGTACCATACCAAAAGTTCCTTAATATTGTGGGAGCATGGACAGATCGATTTCCACGGACGGGTCGTGTGTTAAAATCCTTGCAGTGGGATAAAACAAACGGTTTGATTGTTTAATTTGTATTTGCTGTTTCTTCTCCAAGCATTTGGCAGTTAGTGGTAGGCAAATCCTAATCGACTCAGAGGCATAATAAAGTGCCTTGACAGACATGTCTTCTTGCGAACTGTTACCCTGAGAGCTAGCATAATAAAACTGTGGTCCAGTGTGTACAAAGTAGGGTTCATAAAACACTTATATCATATTATGAAAAAAGGAGATTTGGTATGATTGTCATTGAGACAGTTATCCACAAGAGACCAACTGATGCTAGTCAAAGCAAGTGTAGGTCAGTCACCGTACAGCTATTAAATAATGACAGAAAACTATCTAATAGAGTAAGCTATAAAGGTCCAGGCATTACAAAATGTGAAAAAAATAAAATTACTCTTTATAATTTCATGCGTCCGAAGAGCTTTTCTGAATTTGCCTTCAACAGGAACGCTAAAAGCCGATTACTTAAAAGTCAAGGATGTGTAAGGACCGAAGCAGTTGAATATGATACAAAAAAGGACCTAAAAAAAATAGCCAAACTTTGTCTGAGGGAATCGAAACCTTAGTTTCGTGATAATTTCCAAATTTATAAACGGAAAATTTAAGAAAGGGTTGTTATAAATCATGTCAGTACCGAAGTACTGACTACTGAGCTGATATTCCATAAACAACGGGAACAATTCAAACGAGAAACAAATAACAAATAAGTAACACTATTCTCAACAGTTTATGTTGTAATTTGATTGTTTACAAATTGATGGTTATTCGCCGTTCCGAATTTAAAGGATTATGGGTAATTTCATTGTTGTTCCCAAAATTGAATATAAAAACACGTGTTATTGGTTAAATGTTCGTTGTTGAGGACGGGTTTTTCGGTTAACGACAAATGGTGAATTCTAATTAACTACATATGTACTACAAGCTATATATAGCTAGTAGAATAGTGTCTACAATGAAGGAACAAACATATAAGTTTTGTTTTCTCTGCGACAAAAATGAGAGACATAGAGATTACAATCCGGAGGCGACAGCGTAAGCTTTATATTTTAGGAGGTAGATGACCGGTATACAAATGTGGTGTGTTACGAAGTTTCCGTCTGTCATATGTTTATTGTCCTTGGCCAAATTTGCATGTTTAAAAGCGTACTTTTTAAGTCATGTGAATTTCTCACTTGCTATGAGTAATAAGATTTTTGGTATATGGGATCCTTGCCAGGTCTTATCTGTCAGACAGTGTTTACCAGACTTCGACCTCATTTCATGAATCAATGATCAAAAGGTTTTGTGAGCGAGTCCTTATCTAAACAGAAGGTCAACTATATTTGGTGTATTGAATAATTGTTAGGTATATTTGTCTCTATGGCAGAGTTCATCTGACCTTGAACTCATTTTCATGGTTAATTGGTAAATGTTTCGTGGTAAGATTTGTTTGTCGGGTACTATAAGGATTCGGTCAGTTATATTTGGTGTATGGGATGATTGCATGGTGTACATATTTACCTGGCAGTGTCGTCTAACCTTGACCCATTTTCATGGTTCAAAAGTCAGTGTTATGTTTTCATAGTTAAATCCGTTTATTTGATACTATAATCAACAGGTTGACTATATGTGGTGTATGGAATTATTGTAAGGTAAACATGTTTGTCTGACAGAGGTCATATGAACTTGACCTCATGTTCATGGTTCATTGGTCAAATTACAGTTTGCTTTGTTAGGTCTGTTTCTCGGATACTATAAGCAATAGGTTAACTATATTTGTTTCGTGGAATGATTGTAAGACGTGCATATCCGTCTGACACGATTCATCTGACCTTTACCACATCTGTATGGAGCATTGATAATGTTGATTTTATGAAATACTTGTTGTATAATCTTTTTCTTCACAATTAAGACTTTCAACATAAATTCGATGTTGATCAGTAAAGCATGCAAGACATTTCAGCGTGTGTACTCTTGTGTTTCACTCAGCTTGTCAATATAGCCATTTGATTACTTAGCTTATCGATATAGCCATTTGATTACTAAGCTTGTCAATATAGCCATTTGATTACTAAGCTTGTCAATATAGCCATTTGATTACTTATCTTGTCAATATAGCCATTTGATTACTTATCTTGTCAATATAGTTATTTGATTACTTATCTTGTCAATATAGCCATTTGATTACTTATCTTCTCAATTTAGTCATTTGATTACTTAGCTTGCCAATATAGTCTTTTGATTTGTTAGCTTGTCAATATACTTAGTCATTTGATTGGTTAGCTTGTCAATATAGTCATTTGATTGGTTAGCTTGTCAATATAGCCATTGGATTACTTAGCTTGTCAATATAGTCATTGGATTACTTATCTTGTCAATATAGCCATTTGATTACTAAGCTTGTCAATATAGCCATTTGATTACTAAGCTTGTCATTAAAGCCATTTGATTACTTAGCTTGTCAATATAGTCATTTGATTACTTAGCTTGTCAATATAGCCATTTGCTTGGTTAGCTTGTCAATATAGTCATTTGATTGGGTAGCTCGTCAATATAGTCATTTGATTACTTAGCTTGTCAATATAGCCATTTGATTATTTATCTTCTCAATATAGCCATTTGATTACTTAGCTTGTCAATATAGCCATTTGATTCCTAAGCTTGCCAATATAGCCATTTGATTACTAAGCTTGTCAATATAGTCATTTGATTACTTAGCTTGTCAATATAGCCATTTCATTACTAAGCTTGTCAATATAGCCATTTGATTACTAAGCTTGTCAATATAGCCATTTGATTACTAAGCTTGTCAATATAGCCATTTGATTACTAAGCTTGTCAATATAGTCATTTGATTAATTAGCTTGTCAATATAGCCATTTGATTACTAAGCTTGTCAATATAGCCATTTGATTGGTTAGCTTGTCAATATAGTCATTTGATTGGTTAGCTTGTCAATATAGTCATTTGATTACTTAGCTTGTCAATATAGCCATTTGATTACTTATCTTCTCAATATAGCCATTTGATTACAAGCTTGTCAATATAGCCATTTGATTACTAAGCTTGTCAATATAGCCATTTGATTACTAAGCTTGTTAATATAGCCATTTGATTACTAAGCTTGTTAATACAGCCATTTGATTACTAAGCTTGTCAATATAGCCATTTGATTGGTTAGCTTGTCAATATAGCCATTCGATTACTAAGCTTGTCAATATAGCCATTTGATTACTTAGCTTGTCAATATAGCCATTTGATTACTTATCTTCTCAATATAGCCATTTGATTACTTATCTTCTCAGTATAGCCATTTGATTACTAAGCTTGTCAATATAGCCATTTGATTACTAAGTTTGTCAATATAGTCATTTGATTACTAAGTTTGTAAATATAGTCATTTGATTACTTAGCTTGTCAATATAGCCATTTGATTACTAAACTTGCCAATATAGATAGTCTTTTGATTACTAAGTTAGTCAATATAGTCATTTGATTACTAAGTTTGTCAATATAATCATTTGATTACTTAGATTGTCAATAAAGCCATTTGATTGATTAGCTTGTTGATAAGCCATTTGATTGGTTAGCTTGTTAATAAAGCCATTTGATTGGTTATCTAGTTAATAAAGCCAGTTTATTGGTTAGCTTGTTAATAAAGCCATTTGATTACTTAGCTTGGCAATATAGTCATTCGATAAGTATATCATTTGATCATTGATATCATCTTTTAAACATAGTCATTTGATCACGTAG